GAGGCTGAGGAGAGAGGCTGGGGAGCGGAAGGTGCTCTGGGCCTGGGGCCTCGTGAATCTCTGCCTTGCAGGGATGCTCTCTACTCACGTGTATGTTGCTTGTTCATCYGGCTCCATBAYRTRAAACATCCTGCCTTGTAGAGCATGTTTTTCACTCTTTCTTTTTCCTTTTCAGGCCTGGAAAATTTCTCGGCTATTACTTCAATATGCCCTTCTGGCCTCTCTGGTATATTGGTGAGTTGTCACTGCCCGTCAGTGAGATTTGGGGAGTTTTGGGGAGGCCGGAACAATTTGTGTTTCCRTTTTCTTGTTGGGGAAATTATTTTACAGGCAGCTTAAAAAAAAAAAACAAAAAACAAACAAACAAACAAAACCCCAAAAACCCAGGATTTCTTTTCTTTTCTTTTCCCCCCATTCATGCTGTGGGAATTTCCTCACTGTAGTGCCAGGGAAGAGTCTCTTAGCAGCTGTGTTGTGGGGCTGCGGGACATTTGCAGATAAGGAACGTTTCTTTCCCATGAGTGGAGTCCCAAGTAGCTGTATCGAATGCTCCTAGAGGATGGGAAGGGGGAAGAGTGAGGCAAAGGTGGAGATGAGGGATGGAAGGTTTGTCAGAAAAGCCTTGCTAAAGAGTTTGAAGCTTCATTGCGGCGGTGTGTGTTGTGCCTGGAAAATACCTTGACTGATGAATTTTAATCTAGAGAGGAGATTTGTCTCTCCTGGTTCTTGCGTAAGAAGAACCTGTAAAGAAGTATTCCCCCCATCCTCAGCATGGCAGTTATTAGTAGCGCTTATAATAACGTAAAATTTTAATGTGTTCTTTTTCCAGATAAAAAAGTAAGTTATTGCACATGCTCATGCCATTTAGCATGATAAAAGGTTTTTTTTCTTTCTTCTAGAGCTTTCCATTGCATGCCTCCTCTGTCTGAATGGCATATTTGAGTTTTGCCTGTTTTTCAAATACACGCTGGCATCAAATACATTGGTTATGACTCCCAGGCAGCGGATCCTTCTGGGGATGCACGATGCAGGTTGGTCTTCTAAATGCCTCTTTTAGAAATCCCTGTTTATCTCCTTTCTTTTCCATTGGTATCTTCACTGAGTGGAATTCACAGCTCCTTTGTTTGGCTGAACACACCAGAAAAATGAATTCCCTGCAACCTATGAAAATTGAAACTGGCAATGCTCAATTGGTGAAGGCTTGAGGGGAGAAATGGAAAGAAGCCCTAGAAAAGGAGAGGCTGGTTAAAGGGCTGTTAAAGG